AACCCTGGTGGACCCGAGTAGTTGTTCGGGCCCATAAAAAATGACCTGGACTCGAATTGGGCCCAACTTATACACGTTGCTGCCAGCGATCGACTTTCAAATTATAGGGCATTATTTAGTCCCCAATTGTACATAACGCGACATAGATTGAATTAGTGAGAGAGAGAGTAGAGAAAAAAGTGAAGAGGGAGAGATAGTTACCTTTCGCAATGGGATTGCGATACCGTATAAGAGGTACGATACACAAATCTTCAAAATTAACAAATCAATAAAATAACTATATGCTTTTGTGATACCCCCTAATTTCGGAACACCGGTTGATCAAATCCGCACACAAAACCAGGGAATATCAAAACAATTAAAGTATTTAAATATGCACAGATTACAAAATGAAAAAAAAAAATAAATAAATAATACGCTGAAGAAAACTAATAAATAATAAATCCATTAATAACTTTCTAATGGTTACAACTCGAGAATCCCGTAACTCGAGGACCCCTTAACCAAAAATTATTATTCAGAATTTCAGAAATAAATACCAATGTAAAAATATATATATATATATCCTACTTTGAAATAAATCGAAAGAATAGATAAGTTCTTCAGCTGCGGATCCTCAACCTTGAGACTTGGACCTCTAGTAACCTGAAAGATAAAAATAAAGTGAGTCAAACTTACGAGCAAGTTCTTTCTACCAAACCTCTAAAAACCAATAAATAAATCATCTATACCAAAACCAACTCTAATAAAGTTTTAACTTTAATGTATGATGATACACATATATATAAATACTTATATATAATACAATAATCATATCCATTAATAGGTTCCTTAAATTGTCAAAACCATTAACCAATGACTAGTTAATAATCATACTTAAACCAATCCACCAATATATATTTATTTTAAAAAGAAACTCCTCTAACCTTTATTTCATTCTAAGCAGTAATTTAATCATTTAAGCAATAAATTACAATTAAAGGAATAATACATTAAATCCAAAACCCAATAATGATTTTTAATTATTTAAATCACACAGCTAATATCTAGGCTTTGACAAATCATCCATGTCTCCACCAATATTATTTTATTGATATATAAAATAGTACACTAACGTGTAAGTACTAGATTATTCTAATCGTAATCCAACCTATACATACAATAATCATATATGAAATTTTAATCATCTAACACACAACAATTTAATTATGCAATGACAATTCAACCATACCATTATAAATATATTTATTTATATACTAGCAATTCAACCATGTTTCCTTAAGTATATTTATTTATACTTTTAAATAGCAATTCATCCATACTTCCCATGTATGAAATTTATTCATAAATAATAAGACAATATATTTAAGCCTTTGACAATTCATCCATGCCTACAATTCAACCATATACCAAATCTTAAAACTAATTTAACCATAAACCAAATCAAACCTAGGATTCCATGCATATTATAATCATACCATTTAATTTAACAACCAGCCTATTAAGCTATACTACATAAGAATAATAATTTAATCATCTTAAATAGTATATACATATACACATATTATTTAATATAAATATATGTATAAACACCCTCTACAAAAATCCTTGATTATTAAAATAATATATAGATCAATACATATATACATACATCTTTCAATTCTAATCATATATTAATTAATTCAAATATATGCATATATATATATATATATATATACACACACACACACACACACTTCCTTCCATCCCTAATTATTAATTTAATATATATACGTTCATTAAATATCGTAGTAATACTCTATGTCTCTCAAACCATCATGAACACATTCTCTAATGGTTGCTTTTCAACCTTAAAAACTTAAAAATAAATTTTGGGAATTCACTGGACCACATAAGAACTTCCAAGGACCTTAAACAACCCCACAAGCGCACCCACGCACTGTACGCACCTCCACGCGCTTCCACAAGAAGCCACGAGTCTTCACTTGCCCACACGCGTTCTCACGCAGTGCATGTGCGCCTGATTTCTCCTCTGGATGATGTGGCGTCTTCTGGTTGGCTAGTTCCTCTTGTTCTGGTGAGTCACGTCTCACTGGATTAGTTCTTTATAATAGATTAAATCAATCCAATGGCCTAGATCAGCATGTGCACCTTCTACCCATGCACACGCCCACACTGGAATATCCAAATATCATCAGGACCATCCTAAGGTCCTGATTTGAGGCGCACCGAAGTGCTGCGCTCCGCGACTCACTGAATCACAGCCTCCTATTTGTTGAGCCGATATGTAACAATGGCATATATTTAATTTTAAAATTATAAAAATAATTCCAAATACATTCCAGAATATTCCTAAAAATACAAAACAAATTCTAAAAATAATTTGAAAAATCCATAAAATTCCAGAAAAATCCGAAAAGATTAATTTAGTATTATTTTTGGGCATAAATGAACATATATAATAATATAAAGAACTATTTAATGAAATCAATCATGCTACACAAGATTAAAGCAAATTATAAAAATTTCAGAAAATAAAGTTTAATTAACCTAACCTCACGTACAAGATTTCAAATTATCAGAACAATACATACATACATTCACATGTTTAAAACTATAAATTTGTAAAGAATAAACATACTCATATAATCCAATTAATAAATTAATTTAATCAAAAGTAAAATAAAAATATTGGTGCGACCGAGCGTGTGCACAAAATAATGCACACACATTAGGTTTAGAAATAATGTCAAGTGGGCACCATATTTTAAAATTTATAAAAATACTAAATACTTATACTATGGAGTATGAAGTGAGCAGGGATCGTCCCAAGAGATCTAAACAATTATAGGTTTTTCAAAATTGAATTCTACTTTAGTGCTTATGTGATTGCTAAAAAGGTTTGGTTTTGTGATTAAACTAATTTTAAGCTAAATGATTGCAATAAAATAATGAAATTTAAAAGATTAGAAAGAGACTTAGGGTATAGGATTCACCACTAAGCACATTCCCTAACTCACTAACTTTCAACTAATTGGGGAAATAAAATGTATAATCTAAATGTGGCTAACAATTTCAATGAAAAGTATGAAGCTTCAATTTAAAGCTTGAATCGTTTACCTAATGACAATTAACTAAGTGTAAATCAATTCATCAATTTAAAGCATGATCCATCAATTTAATTAGCAATTTCAACTCACATTAATCTAGAGGATAATGTAATTGTGGCAAAAAGTATAGAATTCAAACATAAGTATGGATGGTCTACTTACCTAATAATTAAATTGCAATTAAATTAATTAAAATTAAATTAAACTAATTAAACATGAATTTAAAACTAATTAGACAATAAATTAACCTAAACATATAGTACTATCCATCAAATAGAAGTAATTTTTTATCAATTTAAACACGATTACAACTAATTAATGCCATACATAGCCATCACAAGAATCAATTAACAAAAAATCCAAGTGTAGAACTTGATTAACAATCAAACATACACAAGACAACATGATATTGACATAAATAATCAAATAGAAGAATTTATTTATAAATATTCAAGGCTATATACTAATTACACAAATTCATCCCCAAAAAGTGAAAAGAGAGAGATTAGGTTACATGCTTAGGGTTTATCCAACCCTAAGTAAAAATATCAGCCACTCATGATTGACAGATTCGAATATGGAACAATCTCTATCCTTGGATTTATTATCTCTGAGCTTTTCTTCCAAGCCCTAGCCTGTTCTTCGTTTCTCCTCTTTCGTGTTTTTCAGAGAGAATATAATAACACGATACAGATAATAAAAAACTTAATAAATCCAAATAATAATATTCACCTCATTAAAATAATGAAAAACTAACCCTAAAAAGAATGGGCTTATTTTTCCTTAAGTAACAAGCTCTATTAAAGCCCATGAGTTATAAAAATAAGCCCAAAAGACAAAATCCCATAGCCATCAAAACATAAATCCCGTAATGCTGCTAGGTGCTGGGGGATCGATCCCCCAGCCTTGGGGATCGATCCCTAAAGGACATTTTTAGTTCTGTGAATAGTGGGGGATCGATCCTCCAAAGTTGGAATTTCCTTTTACACCTTATTTAACTCCATTTTGGCCCCGGGTTAATTAGTTTGCTTCTTGATCATTGGGAACATCTTCAAAGGCCCAGAAAAGGTAGAATTGACCACTTTTGAAGGATTAACATACTGTACGAACAATGGGCTTGCGATCTCTTTTTGCCATTTTCTAAACTTTTCCTGAATGTCCTTACTTGTCTCCAAAAATGCTTTAATGAACCGAAATTAGTCCGTTTGAACCTTATTGACTTGAAATTGACAAAAACATAAATTAGAACTAAAATATGAAAATAAAATAGATGCAAGGACTAAAATACCCTAATTTAGGTGCTGAAATGTGCAACATTTAAGCACTTATCACGCCCCTAAACTTAGATATTGCTAGTCCCTAGTAATGAACTACAGTATGAAAATAAAACAAATATATATAAAACTATCAACTAATAAAGCAAATAAAAATAACACCACTTTCGTAGGGATCACGGTTGCATTTAGCATATACAACAAACCTTTCAAAACCCTAGGTTACCCTTAGTGGACGAGTGAAGTCTCGTGAGGGTTTCCAGAAATGGTACCCACAAACATCAATAGCTCTTTCTTACTTGAGGAGCAACGATACATATTAAACAAGTGTTGAAAGTAGGCTACTTCAAGCATGCAAACTTTTGCCATTTCTAAGCTATTATCAACATTTCAACATCTTATAAGTAAGAATAGTCCTCCACACATCAAGCAATTAATCATGCAAATTGAATCAATTCTATCATTCTTTTTTAGTGAACCGGCATCAAAATGTGTTGCTATCCTAGCAAATCAAAGTAATGGCATAGTCTTACCCTCAAACTAGTATACGGATATAGTACCAGACATCAAGACATTGAATGAATCTTGTTATTTAATCAAACATTTTTTTTAAAAAAATTGATTTCATTTTTTTTTTCTTTTTTATTTATTTATATATGACCATGTGCAATGTCTAAGTTTCTTAAACTCTCTAATCACCCCATGTAATAAGCGTTGAGCCAACGACTCCTAAACCAGATGGTCTTAGGGCGTTAAGTGTAAAGACACTCCTAAGGGCGTAATGACTCGGAATGGCTAGGCTACGAATTCAAACTAATCATACATCTTACATTCTTTCATTGTCTTCCTTTTTAATCAGTTGACATGTTGAAAGAATGCAGTTTGTTTATTTGTTTTTTTTTTTTTTTTTTTTGGTGAGTGCTTTTATTTCGTTTCTTTGCAAGGTCATTTTATCAAGAATGAGAACTTTCAAAACATACTAGCTCAATTGGGATAAACCAAGACAATAATCAACTAAGCATGTACCCCACAAATTGAATGCTAGTGTGCACAAGTGCAAGTGTAGAATTCTAGAATCAACTCTCAAAACATTTTCAACCAACCGGATGATGTGTTCAACAAAAGCAAACATGATGTCAAAATTTGAAATTTACCCTTAAATGGCATCCTTTAGCATACAGGAAATATTAGACTCTAACAACTTGCTTTTCAAAGGTACTATGATTCAAAAGTTTAAAATCATTACCAAATACATCTCAAATCTCATCATGCATTTAAAACTTAACTTAAAATAGAATAAATCATGATGACCTTACCCCCAAACTTAAACTGTACATTGTTCTCAATGTGCAATGAAAATAATAAAAAATGATAGAAAGAGTATACCGTGATGCAAAGATTATGAAGTCCGGCAATGATCCAGTAGGAAAAATGTCTCCCCCAAACTTGGATGCAAAAAAGTAGCTGTATAATCATACTAGCAAACTCACATTAAATAGCATATGTGATAAGTAATGCAAACAATTCAAAACAATATATAATAAGAGGCAAAGAAATATGAGATGAATGCCCTTGATAAAAAATAAAAATAGTCATAACCAAGCATAAGGGCATACTGGTAACACACATTTTTTTTTTTTTTTTTTAAAAGAAACAACGAAAAAGAACATGTATTTACAACCAATAAAATAAAATAAATAACTAAAAATAAGAAAAATGGGCTAAGTTTAACGTCTCTAGCAAGACGGAATGATACTTTGCAATTTTTTTTTTTTTTTCAAATGAATATGAGCAACAAAAGCCAAAAACAATCATCCATGTATATATCTATAGCAAAAACATCAATACAAAACATATATGGATGCATTAAACCAAAATATATCATCACAACCCAAAATTACAGGTTCCCAAAATAACCAGCTCTAAATCACAAAAATCTGGCTATAGCCACATAAAATCCCATCCACCTAAAATAGAAAAATCTGAACAGCATAAAATAGACAAAAGAAATCATGCATCAGGTGGTAATGTGGAAGTGCGTGGGAGACTCGATGAAACAATCTCATATAGATCTCGTAGCATGCGCTGGGTAGTGGTGTGCTGCTGTATAAGCTCAGCATGCTCAACTCGACGCTGCTCCTGAGATTTAGCCAACTCGATCCTCAACTGCCCCACAATGGCATTGAACTCTGTCCTAGTCACCCTGCAGACTCTTCTGCATGTGGTGACACAGCCTGTGCTATCTCATAACTAGCACCATCAACAATCTGCTCCTCAGACCTCCCAACAATATCCTCAACCAGGGCATTCACATCTTCTCTATCACCTGCTGCCATGCCATCACCTTCCTTCTTGGCATTAGGCATATGAGAAAGGCTTAAGTTCCACTGTGCTAGCCCAAAAGTCACCCGTTGAGCCTCAGAGATCTCATCATTATCAACCACGAAGCGCCGAAGGACAAGGAGCTGGGTAATAAGATACGGAAACGGGAGTTTCCATTTTTTCGCATTCGGATCCCCACTCGCCACTAAATGCTGCCGATATTTATGCATTTGGTTAAAGATGAGAGCTGGAACAGAAAACCATACTCCAGTGTGGGTAGCATACAACGCTAGTAAGAACTCTTGCCCCCGCTGTACCTTATGACCTATTGGATGAACATTTCGTTTCAGAACCTGATCGAAAAACCACATAGCCTTAGGTAGTGAGGACTTGCTTGCACAATTCTTCTTCTTCTTGTCACCATACTTCCCGGCACACATATCCTTAACAATAGAATGCACGGTAGGTTTTTCTGGGAATTTACCAAAACGTAACTCCCCATTCTCTGCTAGCAAGTCAGTGGGGCACAAATGTGAACACCCCAATGCCTGGGCTATGTCCAAGACACCAAAGTGAATTCGGACACCATCAATGGTTGTAGCTAATATTTTCGGCGCATCACTAAACCATTCCATATTCTGATAAAACAAGCGCACAATACGAGGATATGCAACCTCTGCAGCTGGTCTAAAAAGGCAGGACAAACGCCTCCTATCAAATTCTAACACTGCCCATTCAGTCGTGTTATTATGGCGAAACGTACCTTCAATGTCGAAGGTAGTCTCAAAATCCAGACGTTTGGTACGCCACGTAGCTTTGGGAGTCTCTTTGGAGGGTTTGAAACGTTTGGAAGAAGAAACACGAGTCATTTCTTAAAGACTGAATGATATGGGAATAGTCCAAATTCAACAACCAATCTGCAATGACAAACCAAATTCGGCAACTCAACCAACAAAATTCAATACCCAAACTTTCCCAATCAACAATTCAAACTCTAATTAGTTAACTAAATGAAGCACCCATGCACAATCCAAGTTCAACAATGACCACAACCCAACACCCAATTCGGTCACTGTTAACTTTTTTTTAAATCATCAATTCAATTTTTTTTTTTTTTTTTTAAATTACCAATGCAATTTTTTTTTGGTAACAACAATTCAACTGCTTTTTTTTTTAAATCATCAATGCAACTTTTTTGTAATATTAACAATTCAACTGTTTTGTTTTTTAAATCATCAATACAATTTTTTTTTTCATCAAAAATTCAACTTTTTTTTGTTTTTTTAATTTATTTTTAAATCATCAATGCAATTTTTTTTTTTTTTTAAATCATCAATGCAATTTTACAAAGGGAATCCAATGAGGACCCAATCAACACTCAATCTACAATGCAGACTACTTCCAACAACCACCATACACTCAGCACTTACCCAAAATTTTTTTAATTGCTTCAAATAAATTTTTATTTGCTTCAAAATCAGTACTTACCCACAAACTCGCCGGAGAAGAATCCAGTCAAACGCGCCGGAGAAAGGCGAATCACGAAGTGCGACAGAGAAGAACCCAGCCGGAATTGCCGGCGAAGAACAGCGAAATCGCTGGAGAGAACCAGCCTCGATATCGCCGGAAAGACCCGAGCCGTCGCTGGAGAGAACCAACCTCGATATCGCCGGAAAGAACAGCGAACAGCCAAAAAAAAACGACGCCGGAAAGTCAAACAGCCGCGATCCGGGAAGCTCGCCGGAAGAACCCAGCTGCGACCGCTGGAGAGAACCGAGATGCGACGCCGGAAAGACGACCCAGATGCGACGCCGTTGAATGACGAACAGCCGCGACGCCGGAAGATGAACAGCGGGAGATTTTGGTTGTGTTCCACCTCGAACGCCAGGAAGAAAATTGGAAGTGGAATTTCTATGAAGAGATTTGAGGCAGAGATAGATTTTGGTTCGTGATAAGTGAACAGAGAGAAGAGGAAGGTATTTGGGGATTGATCCTATGGTTGGGGGATTGATCCACATTGACCTTTTTTTGTTAGTCTCTGCCGAAGCATGGGATTGATCTCCCATTGTGTCCCATAGATTGTTTTGTTTTTTTATTTTATTTTATTTTTTTTAAAACAAAACTAAAAAGAATATATACACTAAAATAAAATAAAATAATAATAATAAAAAAATAAATAAATAAATAAATAAAATTAAAATAAAATCACAAAGCAACCTATACGAATTAGTACTATTTTTTTTCATTTTTTTTAAATTATTATTATTAATTTTTTTTTTTGAATAAAGTAAAACTAAAATGAAACATACATAATAATAATAATAATAATAATAATAATAATAAAATGGAAATAAAATCAAACATCAACCAACGTTACCCATTTACAATTTTTAAAATTTTTTTTTTTTATCTATTTTTTTTTTCTTTTTGAATTTAAAAGTGCATAAATGTACAAAAAGAAAAAGGAAAAAGGAAAAAATAAAATAACATAATAATAAAATGTAAATTAACATGCAACGAAGGAAAAACTCGATATAACTAGTATTTAACGTCGTTAGAAAGACGTAAAATGCTCTCAATCTTCAAAGTAAATGGGATCTACCAAGAGGGCAGATTTCACATTTCTTTGAAAAGCTTGTCCATCAATGTATGGTTTAAGCATTTGACCATTAACTTAGAAGGTCCCTTCATCTTTTAGATTTTTAAGTTTAACCGCCCCATGTGGTGAAACGGAGATGATTTGATAAGGGCCTTCCCATTTGGTTCAAAGCTTTCCAGGGAAGAATTTGAGCCTAGAGTTGAATAACCAAGCCTTTTGACCAGCCTCAAAGGACTTTTTCACAATATATTTATCATGAAATGCTTTTGTCCTTTCCTTGTAGATTTTTGAACTGTCATAGGCATTATTTCGCAATTCCTCTAGCTCATTGATTTGGAGTAAACGGTCTTTTCCGGCCTAATCAAGATCAAAGTTGTGCCTTTTTATTGCCCAAAGTGCTTTGTGTTTTAACTCAACCGGAAGATGACAAGGTTTCCCATAAACAAGTCTATATGGAGACATGCCTATTGGAGTCTTGTAAGCTGTCTGGTAAGCCCACAAAGTATCATTCAATTTCCTTGACCAATTTTTTCGGGTCGGATTGACAGTTTTCTCAAGAATATGCTTGATTTCCCTATTTGACACCTCGACTTGCCCACTTGTTTGGGGATAATAGGGAGTGGCTACTTTATGTGTGACAGAGTATTTCAAAAAGAGTTTATTTAAGAATTGATTGCAAAAATGTATTCCTCCATCACTTATCATAGCCCTTGGCATACCAAAACGAGTAAAAATATTTGATTTGACGAATGCAATTACCACGGTGTGGTCATTTGTTTTGATAGCACAAGCCTCAACCCACTTTGACACATAATCAGTGGCAACGAGAATGTATTGAAAGCCATAAGACATTGGGAATGGTCCCATAAAATCTATGCCCCATACATCGAAGATTTTAACTACGAAGACTAAAGTTAAAGGCATCATGTCTCTCCTTAATATTGATCCTAACTTTTGGCATCGAACACACACCTTGCAAAAGTTATAGGCATCTCGGTGGATAATGGGCCAGAAGAGCCCACTTTGAAGAACCTTCAAAGCTGTCTTTTTTTCACTGAAATGCTCACCACAAGCAAGTGTGTGACAAAACACAAGGACGCTCGAAACTTCACTTTCTGGCACACATCTCCTTATGATTTGATCCGGGCAATAACGAAATAAAATGGGATCTTCCCAATAGTATTTCTGGATGTTAGCAAAGAATCGGTCCTTTTCTTGTTTTAACCAAGTAATGGGAAGTTTGTCGGTAACAAGATAATTAACAATGTCGGCAAACCAAGGCAACGTCCCATTTGAGATTTGAAAGAGTTGTTCATCCGGAAATGATTCATGAATTTCAAGATTTAGAGAAGATTCAACCATTAATCTAGACAGATGATTGGCAACGACATTGTCAGAGCCCTTTTTGTCCTTGATTTCAAAGTCAAATTCTTAAAGAAGTAAGATCCATCTTATCAAGCGAAGTTTGGTTTCCTTTTTCATTAAAAGATGCCTAAGAGTGGCATGATCGGAAAACACAATTACCTTAGATCTTAAGAGATATGACTGAAATTTATCAAGGGCATATACTAAGGCAAGTAATTCTTTCTCAGTGGTAGAATAGTTCAATTGGACACCTAAGAAAGTCTTACTTGCATAGTATATAGCATATGGTAGCTTACCTACCCTTTGCCCCAAAACAGCACCCATTGCGAAGTCGGAAGCATCACACATAATCTCAATGGTAAGGACCAATTTGGAGGTTGCATGATGGGAGTGGATAATAGAAGAGTGCGAAGTTGATGAAAAGCATTTAGGCATGCTTCATCAAAGACAAATGGAGTCTCCTTGGCAAGAAGGTTGCATAAGGGTCTAGCAATTTTGCTAAAGTCTTTGATGAACCGGCGATAAAAACCGGCATGTCCTAGAAAGGAACGGATTTCTCTCACCGTAGTAGGTGGAGACAATTCAGAAATCAACTCAATTTTTGCTCTATCTACTTCTATTCCTCTTTTAGAGATGACATGTCCAAGCACGATTCCTTCTTGAACCATGAAATGGCTCTTTTCCCAACTTAACACAAGATTAGTATCACGACATCTTTGAAGCACTTTTTTTAGATTTTGGAGACACAAATCAAATGAGAACCCAAAAACCGAGAAGTCATCCATGAAAACTTAGAAATACTTCTCCATCATGTCTGAAAAAATTGACATCATACACCTTTGGAAAGTGGCAGGAGCATTGCACAATCCAAAAGGCATCCGTCGATAAGCGAATGTACCAAAAGGGCATGTGAATGTGGTCTTTTCTTGATCCAATGGATCTAGGGCCACTTGATTATACCCCGAGTAACCATCTAGGAAGCAATAGTATTGTTGCCCGACTAATCTTTCTAAGATTTGGTCAATGAAAGGCAATGGAAAATGGTTATTCCTAGTGGCGGAATTCAGCTTTCGGTAATCTATGCAAACACGCCACGAAGTGGCGGTACGTTTTGAAATGAGATCACCCTTAGCATTTTCAACAATTGTGATTCCCAACTTTTTAGGAACCACTTGAGTTAGACTAACCCATTTGGAATCAGAGATAGGATAAATGATTCCCGCATCTAGAAGTTTCACAACCTCCTTCATAACAACTTCCTTCATATTTGAGTTCAATCTCTTTTGAGCATCCCTAAATGGCCTTTCATCATCTTCCATGTGTATGTGATGCATACAAATAGAAGGGTCAATGCCTTTTAAGTCAGCCATACTCCATCCAATGGCTTCTTTGTTAGCTTTAAGCACTTCCAAAAGATCAATTTCTTGGTCATTTTCAAGATTTGAAGCAATGATGACCGGAAGAGTCTCTTTTGGGCTTAAGAAGGCATATTTGAGATTGGATGGAAGAGGCTTAAGCTCAAGAATAGGAGGAGAGATGAGAGAAGGAACTGGTGGAGTACTAGAGAGTGAAGGAAGAGGTTCGTTCTTGCTTTTCCAATGTGGGAAATCCAAAGTGGCCACAGAGTCCATCAAAACATTTACCTCACTTATGGATCCTTCTGTGTCAAAACCACAACTTTCAAACATTTCACAAAGGCACGCTTCAAGAGGGTCCTTATAGAGAATAGAGGGAATAGTCTCCTCTATGGTTTCATTCAAGACATCCACTAGGAAACACTCGTCTTCATCTGTGGGATGTTGACTTGCATTAAAAACATTAAGCTTACCATTATGTTGCCAAAAAAGATGTCCATAATACCGGATTTGCAATTAATGGTGGCATTGGTAGTGACAAGAAATGGACTTCCTAGGATAACTGGAATGTGATTGGTAAGATTAGGGACTGGCTCAGTATCAAGTACCACAAAATCAACCAGGAAATAAAATTTATCAACCTTAATCAAGATGTCCTCAACAATTCCCCTCAGTTTCTTAATTGATCTATCGGCTAGTTGGATTACTACCGATGTTGGCTTTAAGTCCCCTAATCCTAATTGCAAGTAAACAGCGTATGAAATGAGATTGATACTTGCACCTAAATCAAGGAGAACTCTACGAATCTCTTGGTTTCCAATAACACAAGAAATGGTCGGAGCACCCGGATCCTTGAACTTGAGGAAGATTGATTTTCACTTGTTTAAACACTTCCATCATATCATGAATTTTTCTTTCTTGTCTCCCAAATGATGAAGTCTCTCTCAAAGCATGAGGAAATGGAGCTTTTGGCTCATAAGACTTCTCTAATTAGGGAGATGATGATGAAGATGATAGAATGTCCTTTTTAGAACCACTAGCATCCAAGGGAGTAAGAATAGGATTTTGAATGGGATGGATGCAACCACTAGGTTGTGTTAATTCACTATCCTCCTTCGGCCTTTCTTTATCTGATCCAGCCTCCTTTTTGTCAGCCCTTCTTCTTCTCTCTTTATCTTTCTTATTTTTCTAATGTGGAAAATTTTTAACCCTAAAACCTTATGCATATATATATACATATTAAAATCCAAATCATATTCCTATTATGACTACCAAATAAAATAACAAAAATAATTATCTTTAAATAATAAATATATATACACATATATATTATATGGTATATATATATTCGTTCCATAAATAATCATTAGTTAAATAAGTTATATATACATACATATATATATAAATATATATATATATATATCCTTCTATAATGATTATTAATTAATTATATTTATATACATATAATTATGCAAAGATAATTATTTAAATATCTTTATAACTATGGGCCTTTATTAATTAACCCAACAAGGCTTCATTCAAGCCCATGACTACATCCATTGATCACAATCCTCTCAAGCCCAAACCAATTAACTTAAATAAATAAAATAATTAAATTAAACCTATTAAATACAAATAATTGACAATAAAATCACACAAGCTTAAATACATAAATCAAATAAACAATTCACTCATAGCATTCCATAAATCAAACACTATATCAATTCAACAAATATAATTACGAAATA